GCTCCGGCCTCAAGCGCTCCGCGGCGCGGGCCCGCAGGTCCCCGCGGGCCGCCCTGAATTATTCATCGGCGGGGAGATATTGGATGTACCCGCCGCCCGCTCCGCGCGGGGCCGTCGTGCAATGCTATCCGCGTTCCGCGCGCGCCGCGCGCCCCTCCTCCTCCTCCTCACGGCCGTCCTCTCCGAAACCTGGGCGGCGAAGGGGGATCACATTTCCTTTGTCATCGGGCCATTTCACCCTGGCTCGGGTCCCCCCTGCAAATCCCGGAGCCTCGGGAGCCGAGTCTTCCCTCCCGGGCGCGCTGGAATCAGAGGAGCCGGCGAGGGACCCGCGCGGCCACTTCGGGAGCCGCGTGGCCAACGCCGCCCGCGGCTCCCGCCTGCGTCATCCTCCTGCGAACGAGTCGCCGAGCGGGGACGCGGGTGGCCCCGGCTGCGCTGCGCCTACCGGGCTCAGGCTCTCCCGGTGCCCTGGCCTGGCTCGCTTGGGGTTTTATTTTTGCGCGACTCCCCCGAAGTGGGGGACTGCGTGCGCGCGCGCGTGTCCCCCTTCTTTCTCCGCTTTGCCGCCTCTCGGAACGCCGGTTATTGGGACTGATCGGAATTCGGAATCCTTTTAATCTCCAAAGGAGCAAACTCACTTCCGCCCGAGTGCTGGGCGGGGTGGGGGAGGGGAGGCCGGGGAGGGGGTTCCAGGCAAACAGGAAACATTAGCCCTCTTGGCCCGGCCCGCTTTTGTGTGCGCCTCCCCTCCTCCCACCACCCCCCTCCCCCGCTCCGGCCGCGGGGGAGACGCTCGCCCCCAGGCCCCAGTGTGACGACCTTTGGAACCTCCCGGGCGAGGAGCGCGGAGCGACTCTTCCGTTTATTTAAAAAAAAAAAAAAGAAAAAGAAAGAAAGAAAAAGAAAAAAGACTTCATTCGGAATCCCTGCCTCTTGAGGCTGATGGTCACTGCCCGGGAGAGCTAGGGATCTCTCTCCACCACCACCCCTTTTTTTTTTCTTCTCTCTTCCCTTTCCTTTGCATTTCTCTAGGAGTCTACAGAGCTGAGACTGGCCTCGAAGCACAGCACAGTTGTGCAGTTGGATGCAAGGAACTAAGTGAATCTGAATTCTGCTCGTCCAAGGGGCCGGTTGCTCTGAGTTTTAATGGGAGCCCAGGCAGCTGTTAAGAGGAGGCGACCTACTGACGGCCCCGCGGCCATCTGGGTGGTGCCCCAGGCGGTTCTGAGAGAGGAACTATAGGGCCCTCAGAAGAATGACTTGGAAACGCTGCTCTCAGAACTTTTAAAAAATGCCATTTAAGACGGGCGTGGTGATTTTGATGCACCCATTACAATTCAGCAGGCAGGAGGCTGTGGTTGGAGATGGATCTGAGCCTGGACTACGCGGTGAGACCCTGTGTCAAATTAACGCACGAGTAAAATACACAAATAAATGCTATCAAGGTGGGGATAAAGTTTCACTGTGTGGATTATACTAGGTTAGAAAAAAGAAGGTGGACATTGGAGCCTCAGATGTTCAAGATCTGGGCCACGTGAGACCTCTCAAGAAAGTGATGAAAGAGCTGGAGAGTGGGCTCTGCAGTCTGTCAAGAGGACTGGAAGCCACTTTGGGTGGTTCAGAACTGACTGCAACTCCAGCTCCGGAGAATCCAACCTCTGGCAGCCCCCGGGCACCTGAATGCATACCCACACACCCCCACATCGACACACATAATTTACAAAAACAAGGGTTTTTTTTCTTTTAAAGACTAGAAGAGAACTTGGCTTCCAGTCCGAATAACCATGCCTGGATGGTAATGATAAGGATGCGATGAAAGTCTAGATGTGGCCTCTGTCTTTTTTATTCATGGAAAAAAAAAAAACAAAAACAGGGAAGATGGTTCTGGAAACACGAATCAATCCAACTGGCCAGACTGCTGAAGAGCCAGAGCCCTCGGGACTCAGAAGGTGCTCCAGGGATGAGAGCTTCCCCAGCCCACAAGCGCCCTGTGCACCATGGGAAGAGCGGGGACGACCAGCTGTTCTCCACCCCTCCGCTGCCCAGGCAACATGGAAGATGTGTGATTCTCTACTTTCTCTGATGTGGAAGTGAGGAAAAACTGAACAGGGCTCCTCTAAACAAAGATGGAAAGCTTTTTATAAAGTAAAGACGAGGACCAGGAGGAAATCTCGTTTCTGGTTATAATAAAAATTGTTGGGGGCACCTCAGAGTTTTCTTCAGTGAACATTGCTCCTAAGCCTGAGAACTGACTCCAGTCCCTGGCACCCACATGGAGAGCAAGGGTACATCACACACACACAAGTAAACGTATTTAGAGATGTACTGTGTGTGGACAGGTATTTCAAGAGACCAGAAAGGTGTGTCCAGTACCTTGAAATTGGAGTTACAGCAATTTTTCAAGCTACGGGTGCTGGGGGCTGCTGAACTCCAGTCCTCTGATGAAGCAATTAGCACACTTTAACTGTTGAACCATCTCGACGACAGCCCCTAAAAATTGACTTAATAAAACTTAGGGGCAGAAGCTGGACATGGTGTCTGAACGCCTATAATCTCAGCACTCGGGGGTTACCTCAGGAGCTTTGCTTTGTGTTCCAGGCCAGCCTTGAGATCCTATCTCAAAACACAAGGCAGTAAAATTGGGGCTAAAGCTTGGTATGACAGAACAGCTGAAATGCCAGCCTCTAGGAGGCGTTAGCAAAACTTAAAGGCTTAGGCCAGCCTGGGCTGCACAGTGGTACCCTGTCTCAAAAAATAAAAAATAGAATAAACTTTTGGGTAGTGATGGCACACAACTTTAATCCCAGCACTCCGGAGGTAGACAGATCTCTGAGTTCCAGACCAGCCTGGTCTACAGAGAGTTCCAGGACATCCAGGGCTACATAGAGAAACCCTGTCTCAAAATACCAAAAAGAAAAGAAGAAAGGAGTGAGTATGTGTGTGTGGGGTTTCTTCAGACTGGCCTCAATCATCTACCTGCCTCAGCCTCCTAAGTGACCTAAACTGGTCACCATGGCTGGATAGTATTGCCTATTGACAATATAGGACTCTTCTATGATAATCTTTCTTTCTTTTTTTTTAACTAAAAAGTTTATTACAATGTACAATAGGCTCCAGGATAACACTTCATTCTAGCTGTAGGTGGCAAAGATGTTATGGCAGGGAATCCAGATGTTTAAATAGGAATGGAAGAGTGTCACCATCACCTCAGATACGAGGAATAGCTTTTTGCCAGATTTCTTAATTCCACCTGTGGCCAGGGGCTTCCCTGAAGCCTTGGCTTTCAATTCCTCCACTTTCTTCTGCTCCTCTTTCTGTTTCTGCTTGAAAGCCTCATCCTCCTCATCCATCTCCTTGTCCTGCTTCTTGGGCTGTTTCAGGGGCTTCTTTTTGCCACCTTCGCAGCCGGACATGGCGCTGACCATATAATAATCTTAAGAGATGGGAGCCAGAGAGGTTACAAGCACTTACCCAGGGAATCCACGCTCAGTTCCCAGCACCCATAGGGCTGCTCACAGCCCTCCGTAACCGAAGCTCCAGGGAATCCCACCCCCTCTTCTGGCACCAGACACATGCACACACACACATACATGCAGACAAGACCATCATATACCCGAAAAAAATATTGTTTGGCCAGGTACAGAATCATATACTTTCAATCCAAGCACTCAGAAAGTAGACACAGGCAGATCTTTGAGTTCAAGGCCCGATTGATCTACTTAAAGACTTCCAAAACAGGGCTGGAGAGATGGCTCAGCGGTTAAGAGCACTGGCTGCTCTTCCAGAGGACCTGAGTTCAATTCCCAGCAACCACACGGTGGCTCACAACCATCTATATTGAGATCTGATGCCCTCTTCTGGCATGTAGGTGTACATGAAGATAGACAGCATTAATATACATTAAAAAAAAGAAATTCTAAAACAAAACTACATACTGAGAACTTGTCCAGAAAGTAGTCTTAACACACCTACAGTTTTCTACCATGCAGGCTTGCCTGTAAAAATAAAGTACTTTTCCGCTTGATTTCTTTTTCTTTCTATAACTGACTTTAGTTTTGTTGTTGACGTTTTGAGGGGGTTTGTTTGTTGTTCGGGACAGGGTTTCTCTGTGTAGCCTTGGCTGTCCTGGACTTACTTCGTTGACCAGGCTGGCCTCGAACTCACAGCTAATCTGTCTGCCTCTGCCTCCCAGAGTGCTGGGATTACAGGTGTGTGCCACCCCACCTACCTATCGTTTTGAGTTTTTGTTCTTTGTTTTAAAAAAAGAAAATTGCCCAGTGGTAGTATTGCATGCCTTTAATCCCAACACTCTGGAGGACAGACTTAGGCGAATCTCTAAATTTGAGACCAGCCTGGTGTACAGGCAGAGTTCCAGGAGAACCCGGGATAGATAGATAGATAGATAGATAGATAGATAGATAGATAGATAGGTAGATAGGTAGATAGATAGATAGACAGACAGACAGACAGACAACAAATGAAATAAGCACATGCTCCCAGGCCAGATTTAGCTAGCTTTATTGGGTGCTAAGAATCAATGGCTGGACTAAATCCTAGGCTTCTAGTATGTTACTTAAAACAGAGCAGCACAAGTGTTTAATCTCAGCACTCAGGAAGCAGAGGCCACTAGATCTCTGAGTTGGAGGCCAGCCTGGTCTACAGAGTGTGTTCCAAGACAGCCAGGGCTACACAGATTGTCTTGAAAACCTAAATAAATATAAAACAAACAATCCAGGCATGGTGATGCACACATGTAATCCCAGCACTCTGGGAGACAGAGGCAGGTGGAGCTCTGTGAGTTTGAGGCCAGCCTATTCTACAGAGTGAAAGAGAGTCCTGGACAGCCACGGCTACACAGAGAAACTCTGTCTCAAAAAAACAAACAAAAAAACGAACAAACAAAAAGTATATATATAACAAAATGGGCAAAACAGATTGGGGAAGGGGGGCACAGATGGGGAGGGAAGGACATATGAGGGAAGGGAGGACAGTTGGGGGAGGGGAGGGTGGATGGGGGAAGGGAGGACAGATGGGGAGGGGAGGGCAGGTGGGGGAGGGGAGGACAGGTGGGGGAGGTGCCAGAAAAGGGGAAGAGAAGTGACCGAAAGAAGCCGGCTGTAGAGGATCAGAGTGAGCTTTGGCCAGCCCACCACCACAAAAAAAGAAAAAAGGAAAAGAGGCTAGAGAGATGGCTCACTCAGAAGTTAAGAGCACTGGCTGCTCTTCAAGGAATCCTGAATTCAATTCCCAGCAACCACATGGTGGCTCACAACCATCTATAATGAGATCTGATGTCCTCTTCTGGTGTGCAGGTGGACATGCAGAGCACTCATATACATAAAATAAATAAATAAGTATTGAAAGAAAGAAGGAAGGAAGGAAGGAGGAAAAAGAAAGAAAGAAAGAAAAGAAAGAAAGAAAGAAAGAAAGAAAGAAAGAAAGAAAGAAAGAAAGAACGATGGGAGGATACTAAGTCCTTTGGGCCCTAAAGTGTCCAGTCCCTATGAACAGGGCTTTGGGACGTGTGTTGAAGTGGGCCCTGAGTACAGTAGGTAAATTGGTGTCCTGAGCACAGTTGCTCAGAATAACCAGAGAGAAAAGGAAGGAGGAAGGAAGGCAGGCAGGAAGGAGGAAGGACTATCAGACTGTAATCCCAGCACTCAGGAGGCAGAGGCAGAACAAGCAGAAATTCAAGGTCCTCCTTGGCTACATAGCAAGTGCAAAGCTAGCCTGAGCTACAGGAGACTTTGTCTCAGAAACAGAAGTTACTTTGAACTCTAGTCTTATGTCCATTTTTGGTTCTGTTATTCTACTCTGTGACTTGGAAAGAGTTTACTTAATCTGTGTACATCCAATTCTCTGTCCACATAACAGGGATGATTCAGCCAGTCAGAGCTAAACAAGCTTCTAAGCGTACAGTGCTTAGCATAGTACCAAACACATACAAACTCAGTTAATAGCTGTTTCCTAAGTCTTTATGTGTTTAGGTACCCTGCCTTGTGTGTGTCTATGAATCACACGTCTGCAGGGTCTGTGCAGGGCAGAAGAGGACACTGGTTCCTCTGGGACCACAGCTACAGATGGCTGTGAGCCACCATGTGAGTGCCGGGAACAGATCCTAGGTCTCCTAAAAGAATAGCCAGTGCTCTTAACTGCTGAGCCACCTCTCCAGCCTTCAGTGAACTGGCTTTTTTGGGTTATTTTGTTTTCGTTTTGTTTTGTTCTTCTGGTTTTTCAAGACAGAATTTCTCTCAGCTGGATCAGCTGGCCCAGCTGGCCTAGAACTCACTCTGTAGACCAGGCTGAACTCTCAGGATCTTGGACTCAGATTCACCTGCTTCTGCCTCCAGAGTGCTGGGATTAAAGGCCACCGCCTGCAGTAAGCAGACTTTTAAAAACACTCCTGAGGAGCACCCTGCCGGGTGTCTCAGCTTGCTGCTGAGTCTGACAACCTGGATTTGAACCCCAGACCTCATAGAGAAGGATGGAGCCTGCTGGACTTGTACCACCTCCCCATGGGTGTCATCGCACACATTCGCTCATACCCCACCACACACAGAATAAACAAATGCTTTTCAAGACAATCCTAAATGCTACAGGAACGGACTGTGGAAAAGCAGTTTGTGCCTTTGCCCGGTTTGTGCCTGATACATCCTCAGTCTTTCCCTCTGATCCCTCCACGCAGGGATCCCTTAAAGCAGATAACGGACCCCAAGATGCTCAGCCTGACAGTCCCTGTGCAGTCCTCTCCCTCCAGTCTGTCTCCATCCTGGTCCCTAAGCCTCTCCCCCGGCACTGCTTTGAAAGAAGAGAGGAAGCCTGGCTTTACCCATCTAACCCTGCAGACAGACAGCTCGTGCCTTGGACCCAAGGCCACAGCGGCTCTGGAAGACTGACTTCCTTCTCAGAAGAGCGTTAGAGGTTACTGGAACAGAGAGGAGTCCTTGGTGTTCAGCTTCCTGGTTGTCCAGACAGTTATATGAGGGAAGGAAGCCTTTTTTTTTTTTTTTTTTTTTTTTGGCTTTTTGGCTTTTTGGCTTTTTTTCCAAACAGGGTTTCTCTGTGTGGCCTTGATTGTCCTGGACTCCCTTTGTAGACCAAGCTGGCCTCAAACTCAAAGTGATCCCCTTGCCTCTGTCTCCCTGAGTGCTGGGATTAAAGGTGTGTGCCTCCATGCCCACTGAGTGAAGCCATCTTGAAGCCTCTCCAAACTGAAGCTATAGCCCAGCATGGTCGCATCTGAATTCTCAGTCCACAAAATTATAAACCATGAGAAAATGGTGGAAAGCCATTTAGACGGCTCGGTGGGTGAAGCGGCTGGCAACTAAACCTGACAACATTAGTTCCAGTCCTGCAGAAAAGAACCGATTCTTTGGTTGGTTGGTTTTGTTGGCACAGGGTTTCTCTGTGTCCAGAACTTGTAGACCAGGCTGGCCTTGGACTGAGAGATCCCCCTGCCTCTGCTCCTGAGAGCTGGGATTAAAGGCATGTGTCACCACACCCAGCTTACTTTTTTTTTTTTTTTTAAAGAACAGATTTTTCATCAGGCAGTGGTGGCGCAAGCATTTAATCTCACCGTTCAGGAGACAGAGGCAGGTGGGTCTCTGAGTCCAAGGCCAACCTGGTCTACAGAGTGAGTTCCAGGACAGCCAGGGCTACACAGAGAAACCCTGTCTCTGGCCCTAGAGCATCTAGCATTTGAGGGCACCGCTCCTGTGTGCTTAAATCCACACACAGATACACACACTTAACAATAAGATTAATATCAAAGACTAGCTAGTATTCCATTTCACGGGCCTGTCTTTTCTTTCTTTTCTCCCCTTCTCCCCTCCCATCCACCTGCTGTCCATTTTTCCATTCTCTTGTCCTCTCCTCCTTCTGAGACTTAGCCGAGTATTCTCTGATATCCTCAGATTCCTGACTCTCCTGCGTCAGCCTCCCAAGTGTTGAGGTGTTGGAAATAGAAGTGCCTCTGTACTCACCAGCTCTCTCATTTCCTTGATCTACTCTTTTGTCAAAAGGTACTAAGGCTGGATTCTCACCTTGGCTACTATGAACACTGGAACGTAAAATTCATTTCAAGAGAGGCTGGGTAAGATGGCTTCCAGGTTAAGAGCACTGGCTGCTCTTCCAGGGGACCTGGGTTCAATTCCCAGCAACCACATGGTGGCTTACCACCATCTCTAACTCCTGCTCCAGGGGATCAGGTGCCACTATCTTTGGCCTCCTAGAGTGCCAGGCACACAGGTGGTGTGCATGCATACTCGCAGGTGAAAATAATCGCACACATAAAGATAGTAAAACTTTTCGAGACATCTCTCCCGCGCGCTGAGTTAGGCTCCTCTGGGACGCGCCTGGTTGGGTAGAGTCAAGTCGCTGTTCTCTCTCAGGTTCTGCCCTTTTTAGGAAGCGC